TGAGGTTAGGGGTTCAAAGGACCAAGCCTGGCAACATAGTGAAACCCCAAATCTCTACTAAAAAATTTAATTAAAATAGCCAGGTGTGGTAGTGCACACCTGTAATCCCAGCTACTTGAGAGGCTGAGGCAGGAGAATTGCTTGAACATGGTAGGCGAAGCCTGCAGTGAGCAGAGATCATGTCACCACACTCCAGCCTGGGCAACAGAGCAAGTTTCTGTCTAAAAAAAAATCTAAAAGTTAAAGATAAAGTGTTAGGATTAGAACTTTCAGATATGAATTTGGGGTGGGGATACCATTTAGCCCATAACATCTGAGTGCCAACCAGTCTCCCCCACTGACAGCAGACTCTTTAAAACTGAAAAGTCCAGAAATCAGAATGCATGAGCTTATTGATCCTACTAAGCACCTCTACCTGCCAGGTGTTTGAATGAAAAGTGGAAGGTAGAAAGACACTGAGATGCTGAGATGAGCCAATCCTGTTTGCACAGCCCTTCCCATGGCTCCTGTTCTTTCTCTCCATAACCTACTCATCAGGCTTTGGGAGGGAAGAAGAGGGTAGAGGAAGAAGAAACAGGAAGAGGAAACAAAAGGAAGAAAAACTTTTTCTTCATGAAGCTTCCAGAATGTTAGACTCCTCTTCCATTTTTGACTGTTCCTTCTTTGTTTCTTTTGCTGGTTCCTCCTTTTAACCCCGACTTTTAATTTTAATTTTAATTTTAATTTTTTGAGATTAAGTCTTGCTGTTGTTGCCCAGGCTGGAGTGCAATGGTGTGATCTCGACTCACTGCAACCTCTGCCTCCCAGGTTCAACCGATTCTCCTGCCTCAGCTTCCTGAGTAGCTGGGATTACAGGCACCTGCCACCACGCCCAGCTAATTTTTGTATGTTTAGTACAGACGAGGTTTCACCATGTTGGTCAGGCTAGTCTTGAATTTCTGACCTCAGGCAGTCCACCCGCCTCAGCCTCCCAAAGTGCTGGGATTACAGGTCAGCTCCCTCTCAAGATTGAAGCACCCCAGGGCTCAGTTTAGGGTCTCTTCTTATCTACTCATTCCTTTGGGCATTTCATCTAACATCAGGGCTTTAGATTCCAACTCACATATGCTAACGAACCTCATGTTTATGTCTCCAGCCTAGTGATTACTCCTCAACTCCAGATTCACACATCACCTGCCCCCTTGGCATCTCCATTTAGATGTCTGTTAGGCATGTCAAACTAGCACATATTGAACATCTGACCTTCTTCTCTTTCCTCATCAGACACATCAAATCTGCTGGTTTTATTACTATTTTTTAATTTTTTTTTTTGAGACAAAGTCTCACTCTATCACCCAGGCTGGAGGGCAGTGGCAAATTATAACTCACTGTATCCTCAAACTCCTGGGCTCAAGCAAGAAGCAGCTTGAGCCTCCCAAGTAGGTGGGACCGCAGGTTTAGGCCACTATGCTTGGCTTTTTTTTTTTTTTTTGTAGAGACAGGGTCTCCTTATGTTGACGAGGCTGGTTTCAAACTCCTGGCCTCAAGCAATCCTCCTGCCTCAGCCCCCACAAGCATGAACCATTGCACCCAGGTAAATCTGCTCTTCTTGTGGCTGAGGAAACTCCATCCCTCTAGTTGCTCGGGCCAAAAATCTTGGAGTTATCCTTTACCCACCTCTCTCTCATACCCCACATCCAATCCATCAGCAGCTTTTGTAGGTTTCATCTTCAAACACATAGATCCAGAATCTGCCCATATTTCTCATCACCCCAATTGTAACCGGTCTAAATGACCATCGTCTTGTTCCTGGATTACTACAATAGCAGCTGACCTGCTTCTGTTCCCCCGACCAATGCAGCCTACTCTCAATGCTGTAGCCAGAACAATCCCATTAAGACACAAACCAGATCACGCCTCTTTTTCTGAAAACCTCCATGGCTTCCCATCTCATTCAAAGTCAAAGTCAGAGTTCTTACAAAACCCCACATCATCTGCCTCCTTCCTCCACCACTGTGCCTTCATCCCACAAAACCCCCTGATCCACTCTACTCAAGCTTCCTTGTTCTCCTTGAACGCACCAGGCACACTTCCACCTTTGAATCTTTGCACTAGCTCTTCCCTCTGCCCCAAATGTCCACACACCTAACTTCATCGCTGGCTTCAAGTCTTTGTTCAAATGCCACCTTCCTCAAGAGGCCCTACAGACCTGGAGTCAAAGGAGATCATTTTCGAGCTTTAAAATTTGACTACCCCACTGGATTTCAGACTTGCATGGGCTCTGTAACCCCTTTGTTTTGGCCAGTTTCTTTTATTTGGAATGGCTGTATTTACCAAATACCTGTACCCTCCTGTATCCAGGAAGTAACTAGCTTGCTTTTGATTTTACAGGCTCATAGGTGGACTTGCCTTGTTTCAGATGACACTTTGGACTATGGACTTTTGGGTTAATGCTGAAATGAGTTAAGACTTTGGAGGACTGCTGGGAAGGCATTATTAGTTTTGAAATGTGAGGACATTAGATTTTAAGGGGCCAGGGACAGAACGATACGTTTTGGCTGTGTCCTCACCCAAATCTCAACTTGAATTATATTCCCTTAATTCCCACATACTGTGGGAGGAACCTGGTGAGAGATAATCTGAATCACGGGGACAGTTTCCACTTACACTGTTCCCGAGCAGTGAATAAGTCTCTCAAGATTTGATGGTTTTATTAGGGGTTTCTGCTTTTGCATCTTCCTCATTTTCTCTTGCTGCCACCATGTAAGAGGTGCCTTTTGCCCTCCGCCATGATTCTGAGGCCTCCCCTCAGAATCATGTGGAACGTAAGTCCAATTAAACCTCTTATTCTTCCTAGTCTCGGGTATGCCTTTATCAGTGGCGTTACAATGGACTCATACACCTACCCAGACCACACTGTTCAACACGACAACCAACCTGCACTTCTAATCTCCCTTACCCTGTTTCACTGCTTTAACACATCTTTTCCATTATACTTATCACCTCCTGATGTATAATTCACTATTTCTTCATTGTGTATTTGTCTTGTTTTTGAGAGACGGTCTCACTCTGTTACCCAGGCTGAAGTGCAGTGGCAAAATCTCAGCTTATTGCAACCTCCACCTCCCAGGCTCAAGTGATCCTTGCACTTTAGCCTCCCAAGTAGCTGGGACTACAGGAGCCCGCCACCATGCCCAGCTAAATTATTTTTGTTTGTTTTTGTAGATATGAGGTTGCTACATTGTCCAGGCTGGTCTCAAACTCCTGAGCTGAAGCGATCTGCCCACCTTGACCTCCCAAAGTGCTGGGACTAGAGACGTGAGTCACTGCACCTGGCCTTACATTGTGTATGTTTTTTGTTAGTCTTTCCCCATTGGAATATAAACCTCATGGGGTAGGGATTGTTTTGTACAGTGATATATCCCTAGAACAGTGCCATGCTCACATAGTAGGTACTCGATATTCGAACAAATGAACAGAGAGAACATCCTAGAATGTGTTCAGAAACCAAATGGAAATAAAGCACAAGAATTAGTCTTTCCCAGCCTGACCTCTCTTTGATTCTATTGCTAACTGGCTGTGTGTCCTCGGACATGTTTAACCTCTGCCCCATCACTGTTTAACAGAACTTTTTTTTTTTTTTTTGAGCCAGAGTCTCACCCTGTTGCCTAGGCTGAAGCACAGGATGCAATCTCAATTCACCACAACCTTCACCTCCCAAGTTCAAGTGATTCTCCTGCCTCAGCCTCCCAAGTAGCTAGGATTACAAGTGTACACCACCACACCCAGCTAATTTTTGTATTTTTAGTGGAGACAGGGTTTCACCATGTTGGCCAGCCTGGTCTCAAACTCCTGACCTCAGGTGATCCACCCACCTCTGCCTCCCAGAGTGCTGGGATTACAGGGGTGAGCCACCACACCCAGCCACATAGCACTCTCTTTAATGGCAGTCACATTCTATATCTGCAACATCCCATAGGGTAGCCACTGGCTGCACAAAGCTACTAAGCACTTGAAATGTGACTAGAATGACTGAAGAACTGAATTTATTTTATTTTATTTTAATGAATTTAAATCGAAGTAGTCACAAGTGGCTAGTGGTCGTCCTATTGGACAGTGCAGTCCCGTTTCCTCACCAGACTGAGGAGAGAGAGATGTGTATGTCCAGCATCCAGCTGGCAATGACAGACACTCAGTGCAGGCTCCTTCCCTGCCCCACACTGCCGAAGGCCACAGGTAAGAAGCCCAACTTCCACACCAACGGCACAGTCCCCTACTACGGGGGTAGAAGGACTGGAGCACCTTTTGTTTTTAAAGAAGGCACGTTGGTTTTACTAAATGCATGGGGTCGGGGGAGATCACAGAGTGATTGCCCCAACTCCACAATGGGGTACAGAAGTTTTGACTCCCTTTCTCATAGGGGAGTCAGAGCACAGGTATCAGCGCAGGCCCGGAGAGAGAACAGCTGCAAGGACTCTAGGAAGAAGCAGATGAAATAAAGGATGACACGTGGGGATATTTTGTATATGTATATGTATGCCAGAATTGTCACATTTTTGATGCCTTCATACAATTTTGAAGAGCCCTGGAAGTCCTTAGAGGTGCACCGGGGCCTGTCAAGGAGCTTGGAGAGGACTCAAGCAATAGACTTCTCCCCAGCAGAACCACTCTACACTTGGCTGCTTTTCAGGGTAGAGTTTTCTGTTACAGAGTTTGAAAATCACTTCAAATCTCCCGGAAGCAAACTTTAAAAACACTGTCAATAAACGTGAAACTCAACCACCGTAGCCCCAGCACATGGCATGGGAATGCAGCTCCAAAATACAGGGCCACACAACTGTAGTGTCTCAGGTTGTGTTTTGAAAATCCAGCTACCTCAGGCTTCCCAGGACCTAAGATCTTTAAATTCTGGACTTCAAAGGCCTAGACTTTTCACTGATTCAGATTTAGTAATAAACAACGAGGCCTGATAATTGTTTATTAATTTGAATACAACTGACTACAGCAACAGTTCTATAACATAACATAAATGAAAGATCAAAATATATGCATATCATATCAGAGACTTGGACTGAAAAACCAAAAACGGCTAAGTATATTAGCAAGGGTAAACCATGCTCTATAGTGGTTCTAGGTGATGAAGAAAAATAGGAAAGAACAAAGATCTTCAAGAATCTTCTAAGACAAACCTCAAGAATGCCACTGAAACGGTTTTCTGGAGTTCTGTGTAAGAATTCACTTCAAAATAAGTTTCACATCTTAGGAGACTGTGGGATCCTCAGCTGGAGAAGGAGGTGGGGCAGGAGGTACTGTGAGGTGGGTCCTGCGAGGGGGAGGGGTTTGTTCCAAATCCAAGTGGGAGAGCATCTCCTTGGCTTCATCACTTTTCTGGGTAATTATCTCTTTTCTAGGAAGAAAGGCACATTGAATGCCATTTGAATAAAGATAGGTGTTTAAATAAATAGAGAGAAAGAACAGACTGGGCATGGTGTTTCATGCAGATACAGATAATCCCAGCACTTTGGGAGGCTGAGGTAGAAGGATCACTTGAGCCCAGGAGTTCAAGACCAGCCTGGACAACATAGGGAGACCCCCCTCTCCACAAGAAAATAAAAATTAGCCAGGTATGGTAGCATGTACCTGTGGTCCCAGCTACTCGGGAGGCTGAGGTGGGAGGATTGCTTGAGCCTGGGAGATCGAGGATACAGTGAGCTGTGATTGTACCATTGCACTTTAGCCTGGGTGACAGAGTGAGACCCTGTCTCAAAACAACCAAAAAGAAGGAACAAAAGAAATACCCCAGATGCCAGCATCTAAAGAGAATAGTTAACATTTTAGAGGACATCCTTTCAAGCTCCTCCAGCCACACTCACCTTGCAGAAATGAGATCTACTTTATGAACACTTTGTCAGTCAGCTCTCCTCAGAGTGAGCTCAGCTGTCCCCGTTGGTGCCATGGAACCAACAGAGTTGGAGTCTGTACCCTCACTCCTCCACCCGCATCCTCCAAGGGTCTCTTAGGATTAGAGCAGGAGTTCTTCCCATCAATTAGCTTTCTCCATCCCCTACTGGCCTCTGTGCATTTCATCCTGGGACAGGCTGTGTCTAAATCTTGCATTTGCATTCCAGTTATTCGTAGGGCCAGTCCATTCTCAGGTTCACTTCACAGCTCCCTTTGGCCTAACTTGTCCCCATCGCCAGGCTGCGAGGTTCACCTCCCCTTCTGCTGGAGTATACCAGGGTCTTCCCATCCTCTCCAGGGCTGGGCAAACCTTGCCTTCAAGTGCATAGGACTAGCCTGTCAAGCTTTTACAGGTTCAGATTTAACTGTTCCCTGAACATTTACTATGTTCCAGGGACTAGAAATTACTTAGAAAGTAACCACATGTAGAATCTCAGCCCCCACATTAAATCTTTCAGCTGAGCAAGCTGAGACAGAAGGTGATTTACCCAGATCATGTGACCAGTAGAAGGCAGAACTGGAATCCAAATTTAAATTTTAATCTGGCCACAAGTTCACGGCTGCCATCTCCCAGTCAAAGCTGATCCCTAATGTTGCTGAAAGGATGTGGGATGATAGGAAAGGAACTGTTTGGTGGCTAGGACAGGCCGCAGAATTGTGCCATCTCGTCCTTGGATGGACATTAGAGCGCAGGGACCACACTTCCTGCAGACAATGCCCACTCTCACGGTCTAAACCCGTGGTGTCAAACTGGCCGTGCACCACTATCAACAAGGAGTTAACATTCCCATGTATGGTAACTAAGAAATGGTACCTAATTCCTATTCATTTGTTAGTATCTTAAATCCTAATAAATTCTAAGGTCAAAGGGCATTGTAAACAACATTAGATGGAATCTGTATTTTTTATTTCAAATCAATAATTTTGATTTTTTTGACCAACTTCTTAACAGATTTAGTAAGATTATTATTTTTAATCTCATAATGTACCCGACGAAGAGCTCAAGCTAGAGGTGTCAGCTTGGGCCAGGCACAGTGGCTCTCGTCTGTAATCCCAGCACTTTGGGAGGCCGAGGCAGGTGGACCACTTGAGCCCAGGAGTTTGAGACCAGCCTGGGCAACATGGCAAAACCCTGTTTCTGTTAAAAATACAAAATATTGGCTGGGCGCGGTGGCTCAAGCCTGTAATCCCAGCACTTTGGGAGGCCGAGACGGGCGGATCACGAGGTCAGGAGATCGAGACCATCCTGGCTAACACGGTGAAACCCCGTCTCTACTAATAAATACAAAAAAACTAGCCGGGCGAGGTGGCGGGCGCCTGTAGTCCCAGCTACTCCAGAGGCTGAGGCAGGAGAATGGCGTAAACCCGGGAGGTGGAGCTTGCAGTGAGCTGAGATCCGGCCACTGTACTCCAGCCTGGGCGACAGAGCCAGACTCCATCTCAAAAAAAAAAAAAAAAAAAAATTTAAAATATTAACCAGACATGGTGGCGCATGGCTGGTGGGAGGCTGAGGTGGGAGGACTGCTTAAACCCCAGGAGGTTGAGGCTGAGGCTGAGGCTACAGTGAGCTGTGATTGCACTACTGAACTCCAGCCCAGGTGACAGAGCGAGACCCTGTCTCGAAAAAACAAAACAAAACAAAGTGATCCCCACTCCCCACCCTCTATCAAGAGCCACCAATGTGAAGTTTATCCCACCACCACCCACGCAGTGAACATACACAAATGGGTGTCATCACCCTTTGAAGGGCCATGTGAGAAAAGTCTGTTTTCCACAATGGATGACAAAGCAGTTTCCTCTTCTGTGAAACGTGTCTTGCAGCAGCATTAAATACATTTAAATAACCAGTGCCAGCTACAGTTTCAGGCACTTGCTGGGGCTCAGTGTTATGCTCCATCCCAACCCCACAAGCGATCCAGAGGAAAGATTTTAGGTACCTCGTGGTCATGGTGACTCGGCGTCTGGTTACCTCGGAGGTCAAGTCCTTGTAGGGGAGATTAATGCCGTTGTCTGCAGGGCTTCTCTGAGCCATGGCCTTGCACTCAGGGGATTTGAGGAATTTAAAGTTACTGCACCTGTGAGTGTAAAACACACATGCTAGCACCCATGCTTCAGGGGTCAGGAATGCTCCAGCTAGGTCCAGCATGACGCAGTTTGCAGAGAACATTCACTGCCTTACTCTCAGTGGGTTTTCTGGACAGCCTGGCCATCATCCTCCTTCCCCCCAGGTCAAGAGGCAGATATTTCCTCAAATACCTATTATGAGGAGTGGGTGGCTAAGAGTAAAATCCTTGTTGGTTGTTTATATATAACAAATGTGATTATTCCAATCGTGCAATGGGCGGCTCTCATTACCCCCAGATAACACCGAGGACATGGAGGCACAGAGAGGTGAACTGAATCTCCCCAGGTTGCACAGCAGCCCTGTCTCATGCTGGTTTCCCTCTAATGGCGCCATTCCAGAGGACCTCACAGGGCTGTTTGGCCTCACTGACGCCTGCAGAGCTTTCTTCCTGGAACACTTACCTTCTAAAAAGCAGGAAAGGGACATAAACAAGACTGCAGCTGGGAGCCAAGCAACTTGTCCGGATACGCACATGGCATAGAGACTGGAGGGTTGATTTTGATAACAGAGATAGCGGCCACCCATTTACTGTCAGCCACCTTGGGATGTCCTTTTACTTTGTCCCCCTCCTCCTTTTTTGGGGGGTTTTTTGTTTGTTTGTTTATTTGTTTTTGAGGCAGGGTCTGGCTCTGTTATGAAGGCTGGAGTGTATCGGAGCCATCTCGGTTCACTGCAGCCTCCGCCTCCCAAGTAGCTGAGACTACAGGTGCATGCCACCATGCCCAGCTAATTTTTGTATTTTTTGTAGAGATGGGTTTCACCATGTTGCTCAGGTTGGTCTCAAACTCCTGAGATCAAGAAATCTGCCCTCCTTAGCTTTCCAAAGTGCTGGGATTACAGGCGTGAGCCACCATGCCTGGCCCTTTTACTTCATGTCATTTGATAACCACAGTAACCCCACATGTAAGTATTATGATCCTCATTGAACAAATGGGGAAACTGAGCAGTAGAGAAATTAGGTAGCTTTTCAGGAGTCACAGAGCTAGAATTAGAACTAGGTCTGTCTGACTTCAAAGACTATATTCTCTCCACTACAGAGCCAAGTCATCTCCCAATAAACAGAAGATGTATTAGAATAATTCCCATTCCTAGACACCAGGTCACACTCAACGTGGTGACTCTGCCATTCTACAGTATAGATTGCAACAGCCGGAGCTCACCAGCTTGATCTCTTGGCTGGAAAGGTTTGTTCTTATAAGGATGCCCAACTTACCTTTTAATCCCAGGTCAGCTTAGCATATAACCGCTTTTACGCGTCAACTCATGGATTTGCTAAGAAATGTCCTTATGACATACTCTGTACCCACATACCAGCTACTTCACCACTTTGGAAAGAGAAAAGGTGAAAAAAGGACCACCAACGTCAACTTCCTCCCCTTGAGTCTTTTATCCTCCTGTAGTCAGTCTCTCTGAGGAACTTGGGTTAATAAGATTGATTTGCAACCTTAGAAAGCATCAGCTGAAACAAATTACCCCTGGAGCCATGTCCTTGAGAAATCCCCACAGATGTCACAGGGAGAGAACGGGTCTTGGGGGCAGAGCAGGGAAAGAGCTTTCTGTCATGTGAGCAGTGGTGAAGCACTGTCTTAGACGCTGGTAAACACGACATTGTGACCTAGTCTCTTTATCGGCTACTTTTTAAAAAGCTAATTCACGTACACCCCGCCTCCCAGTGCCATCAATCATCACTGATCCCACCTCTTCCTGATAATTCACAGCACTTTCTGCCATGCTGGCAGGTGTTTCAGCTCTGAAATTAAAGGAGTTGTTTGCGCAACTCCCACTTTTGATCTGAGTGATCTCGGGCAAGTAATTTAACCTCTAGAAGCCTTGGTTTTGTTATTTGTGAAAGAGGACTAATACTATCTTCTAGGGCAGTCGTGAGGGTTGAGAAAATATTTGCAAAAAATTCCTAATTTTGCCTTTCTTGCATTTTTTTACTTTAAAAAATGTATTATTACTATTATAATTATTGAGACAGGGTCTCACCCTGTCACCCAGGCTGAAGTGCAGTGGTGAGATCATAGCATAGATCCCATCAGGCTGAGGTGGGAGGATCATTTGAGGCCAAGAGTTCAAGGCTGCAGTCGATTTCTTTACAATGATAATAAAGCCACAATAGAAGAAATTTGCTATTTGGGAAGATAAGATGTAATGAAGCTGGGATTAAAAACAAGGTTGACACAAGGTCTATATATACATAGATAGATATAGCTATTTCCCTTTGTCAACGAAAAGAGTCAAACTCTGTAAAACATTTGAAGAGATTCTGAGCCAAATATGAGTGACCATCATGACCTGTGACACAGCCCTCAGGAGGTCCTGAGAACACATGCCCAAGGTGATCGGGGTGCAGCTTGGTTTCACACATTTTAGAGAGGCAGGAGACATCAATCAAATACATTTAAGAAATACATTGGTTTGGTCCAGAAAGGCAGGACAACTCAAAGCGGGGGGGGGCTTCCAGGCTATAGGTGAATTTAAAAATTTTCTTTTTTATAATTGGTTGAGTTTTCTAAAGACCTGGCGTTGATGGAAACAGAATGTTCAGGTTAAGATAAAAGATGGTGAAGGCCAAAGGTTCTTTCAAAGTCTTATAGTGACTGACCTTAGAGACAATAGATGACAAATGTTTCCTATTTAGATCTCAGTTAATCTCTTTAGGATTGGGAGGGTCTGGAATAAAAAGATCTAGCTATGTTAATAGAGATTCTTTACAGATGCACATTTGCCCCCACAAAGAATGGCTTCGCATGACCATTTCAAAATATGGTGAAGAAACATGTTTGGGGGTAAAATATTTTGATTTTCTTTCTTGTCTCATAATGTTATGCCAGAGTCAGGTTGGAGAGTTTAAGCCACGATTAGTGTTAAATAAAACCCATCTGAAGAGAATTTATGATTTGCAGGGCTTGATACCCCACACCCCTTAGATAGGAATTTGGGCAAAATAAAAATCAGAGTTTAGTCCTCACCTTCATATAATGGAATGAAGGTAAGCCCTGTCCCCTGTATTAGTCAGGGTTCTCTAGAGGGAAAGAGCTAATAGGAGATAGATAGATAGATTTTATACAGATAGATTATATATATATAAATATATATATACATAAATATATATATAAAGGGGAGTTTATTAAGTATTAACTCACATGATCACAAGGTCCCACAAGCTGTCTGCAAGCTGAGGAGTAAGAAATGCCAGTCCGAGTCCCAGAACTGAAGAACTTGGAGCCTGATGTTGGAAGGCAGGAAGCAACCAGCACAGGAGAAAGATGTAGGCTGGGAGCTAGGCCAGTCTCACCTTTTCACATTTTTCTGCCTGCTTATATTCTAGCTGGCAGCTGCGTAGACTGTGCCCACCCAGATGAAGAGTGGGTCTGCCTTTCCCAGCCCAGTGACTCAAACGTTTTTTGTTTGTTTGTTTGTTTTTGAGACAGAGCCCTGCTCTGTCGCCCAGGCTGGAGTGCAGTGGCGCAATCTCGGCTCACTGCAACCTCTGCCTCCCAGGTTGAAGCAATTATCCTGTCTCAGCCTCCCCAGTAGCTGGGACTACAGGCCCACACCACCACGCCTAGCTAATTTTTGTATTTTTAGTAGAGACGGGGTTTTACCCCGTCACCATATTGGTCAGGTGGTCTCAAATTCCTGACAGGCGATCCTCCCACCTCGGCCTCCCAAAGTGCTGGGATTACAGGTGTGAGCCACCACGCCCGGCCCTAACTCAAATGTTAATCTCCTTTGGCAACACCCTCACAGACATACCCAGGATCAATGCTTTGTATCCTTCAATCCAATCAAGCTGACACTCAGTGTTAACCATCATGTTACAGGAAAGGGGTCCAGAACCAGACTCCAAGAGACGGTTCTTGGATCTTGTGCAAGAAAGAATTCAGGGCGAGTCCGCAGTGCAAAGTGAAAGCAAGTTTATCAAGAAAGTAAATGAATAAAAGAATGGCTACTCCATAGACAGAGCAACCCCAGGGCAACTGGTTGCCCATTTTTATGGTTATTTCTTGATGATATGCTAAACTAGGGGTAGATTATTCATGCCTCCCCTTGTTAGACCATATAGGGTGACTTCCTGACATTGTCATGGCATTTGTAAACTGTCATGGCGCTGCTGGGAGTGTAGCAGTGAAGACGACCAGAGGTCACTCTCGTCACCATTTTGGTTTTGGCTGGCTCCTTTACTGCAAACTGTTTTATCAGCAAGGTCTTTATGACCTGTGTTTTGTGCCAACTTCCTATCTCATCCTGTGACTCAGAATGCCTTAACTGTATGAGAATGAGCCCGGTAGGTTTCAGCCTCATTTTCCCCAGCTCCTATTTAAGATGGAGTTGCTCTGGTTCACACGCCTCTGACAATCACACCCTCCAAGCCCAATTAGATACTTTTTGAAAGCAGGGGCTGGGTGCAGTGGCTCATGCCTGTAATCCCAGCACTTTGGGAGGCCGAGGCGGATGGATCACGAGGTCAAGAGTTTGAGACCAGCCTGAAAACATGGTGAAACCCCATCTCTACTAAAGATATAAAAAAAATTAGCCGGGCATGGTGGTGTTCACCTGTAATCCCAGCTGCTTGGGAGCCTGAGGCAGGAGAATCACTTGAACCCGGGAGGCAGAGGTTGCAGTGAGCTGGGATAGCGCCATTGCAGTCCAGTCTGGGTGACAGAGTGAAACTTCGTCTCAAAAAAAAAAAAAAAAAGAAAGAAAGAAAGAAAAAAAAAAGCAGGAGCCCAGTATTTTTCCCTTCCTCCTATCTCAGGGCTTGGCCAGGCTGAGCTCCTAGTGGGGACCCAACAATTACTTACATTGAATCAGAAGATTCAGAAGCATTGTCTTCTCATCTGTTCCTTTAGCTATATGATTCCCAAAGTCTCTAAATCGTGAAGGGTTTTCAAAGTATAGACAAATTTTTGCATTGTATTTGAATATGTCAGAAGCAATTATTGTATGTAAATTTCAGGAGATATACAGCCACAGCAATAATTTGTTTTTGTTTGTTTGTTTTTGTTTTTGAGATGGAGTCGCGCTCTGTTGCCTAGACTGGAATGCAGTGATGTCAGCTCACTGCAATCTCCACCTCCCGGTTTCAAACAATTATTGTGCCTCAGCCTCCCCAGTAGCTAGAACCACAGGTGCCCACCACATTTTTTTATTTTTAGTATAGATGGGGGTTTCCCCACATTGGCCAGGCTGGTTTTGAACTCCTGACCTTAAGTGATCTGCCCATCTTGGCTTCCCAAAATGTTGGGATTACAGGCATGAGCCGCTGCGCCCAGTCTTGATTTCTTTAAATAATCTGTTTTGTGTGTGTTTGTTTGCTACTGTTTTAGTTCAATGACTTTTGAAAACAAAATCTGAGCTTTAGCTAGGAACCCTCAGGGAGTCTGTTGTAGTTCAGATACATCTAAAGTGTTGACAATAGTATAATCCAGAAAAAAATCACTATTTCCCACACTAGCCATCCTTTAGGATGTGTCATACTTCGCTGAAACATGTTCCTGAATCCTGACGTCTAAACATGAAGCTTACATTTCATACAAGAAGAGGTCCTGGTAATAAAGCCGTTGAACAATAAGAGAGTCTATTTCTTTACATTGATGATAATGAAAGCACAATAGAAGAAATTTGCTATTTGGGAGGATAAGATGTAATGAGCTAGGATTCAAAACAAGGTCTGCTTGATACCAAAGTCCGTACATTTAACAACCACATTTTCCACTCTCCAAATACATATATGGGTAAAATAAAGCAAGAAAATGCATACTTTAGAAGCAATAGAAAAGTATCCAACGACAAGATACTGTTACCAATTTTAAAACAAATTGGGGGCACCAAAAGCTCTCTTAGATTCTTAGTTACTTGATAAATAGATTGAAATTATCTCAAATGATAGGGGCTGGTTGAGAGGATACTCATGTCAAAAGATACTCAGGTCAAAAAAGAGGGATACTCATGTCAAAAAAAGGAGATAGTGAGGCCAGACGTGGTAGCTCACACCTGTAATCTCAGCACTTTGAGAGGCCGAGGTGGGCAGATCACCCAACGTCAGGAGTTTGAGACCAGCCTGGTCAACATCGTGAAACCCCGTCTCCACTAAAAAATACAAAAATTAGCTGGGTGTGGTGGCGGGCACCTGTAATCCCAGCAACTCAGGAGGCTGAGGCAGGAGAACCGCTTGAATCCAGGAGGTGGAGGTTGCAGTGAGCTGAGATCACGCCACTGCACTCCAGCCTGGGTGACAGAGCAAGACACCATCTCAAAAAACAAACAACAAACAAAAAGGAGATAGTGATCCTCTTGAGAGAACAGGATGGGTGACCCTCGTGGGCCTTGCAGGAAGAATTGAACTGGAACCACAAAGGCACATATAGGAACTAGATTACCTTGTCATCCCCTCAACAGCAGAGGCTATGGCACTAGATCACTATCACATATGTGACTCAGTTATCCTCAATCTCTGCAAAATGTCTAAGGCCAACATAACTTTTTCTAGACATACATGCATATCTGAGATAAAGGACAGTTAGCACTAAGGTGGGGTTATGAGTCTGTCAAGTGTACTATCAGCTCCCTTGACCAGCTCTTGAGTCTCTGAACTTGGCTGGTTGAGTGCCAACCCAGGTGACATTCACTTCTCTACCCACTCAGCACCTGCACCTGTGCAGCTGTATGTGGCTAGTGGAAAACATACAACCTTGATAGCCAGTCTTCCTTTAAATTCATGAGTGCAGCTGTCAGTGCATGCTCATCCTAGGCCTAGATACCTTCTCTTCTGTCCTCAAACCTCCAACACGTCTTCCCAATTCTCATTCTTAGCTGAGGAAAATGGAAGCAATTATAAGAGAATTCCACACTCACCACGCCTACCCACCTTCCAACCTTCGTGCCCATGTTCTCTGTCTCCTCTCACCTTACTCTAGATGAACTATTGGCACTCTTTTCAGGGGCCAACCCTTCCACTCCAGCACTAGATTCCGTTCCCTCTCATCTACTCGAGGTCTTCGTTTGAACAATTCTCCCGTCTCTTTATTAACAAATTTCCCCTCTCTGTTGGAACTTTCTCATCAGTGAACAACCATGTTATTTCTCCCATTTTAACCTTCTCTTGTTCCCACTTTTCCCCATCACAAAACAAAGACAAAATTTGCTTGTAAAAGACTTGTCTATATTCATTGCCTCCAATTCCTTTCCTTCAATTCTCTGTCAAATCCACTTTAAAAAATATTTCTCATATCACTCAGTCACCAGCAGTAGTTGAAACAGTAAATAACTCACTCCTCCTTGAAGCATTGTCTTCATTGACTTCCAGGACACCGCCCTCTCGCTTGCTCCAAAGTCACTGGCAACTCTTTCTCAGTTCCCTCTGCCTGTTTCCTCTTATTTCGCTATACTCGTAACAGGACAGCATCCAAGCCTCAGCCCTTGAATCTCTTCTATTCTCTACACTCATTTCCCTGTTGATCTCACCTAGTCTCATCACTTAATTGCCTGTCAGGTTCAAAACTATGCCAATTATCATGCTTGGGGTCAGCTTCCAGTCCATGCTGAGGTCTGAAGGGAGTAGGTAGATGAGCAACAAGAACATTTGGGAAGCTGTAGGCAGGTGAAAGATGATTTTATTCAGCAGCAGCTCTCATCAACAACTTTCTCACACTGTCTGCCCTGTCTCAGCTGCTTAGTCCAGTGGCTCCCACACACAGCTGCCCAGACAGCTCCCCCCTGCCTCAGGGTCAGCAGCTTAACTCTTTCTCTCTCCAGGCTCAAGCTGAGCCATGCTGTGCCCTGGCTTCCCACTGTCTGCAAAATGGACAGCTTTGGTTCTCTTTCTCTAGGTGCCAGCATGCCTGTATAGTGTCAGCAGGGCAATTATACCTTTTACAGACAACAGTGGCTTAAAGCCAAATGATGAGCCTTCCCATGTTATGGCTACATGGCTGTGATAACAAGTGGAGACATATGCCTGCACTCTAAACTCACTGAGTCACTCTGGATGTTTACCTCGGCCTATCCTTGACCAAAGCACAGCCATGTTCCTTACAATGCCATCCATCTATAGGAGATGACATCTATCGATCTGTCTCTCCAGCCCCGATCTCTCTCCTGAACTCAACCGATATATCAGCTGCTGACTTGACATCTCAATATAACCAATAAACCTGTAAATTCCACGTGTCCAAGACTGAACTCCTGATCACCTCCTTCAAACCTGTTCCAGCAGCTGTCTTCCTCTTTGTTGTTGTTGTTATTTATTTGAGACAGAGTCTCACTCTGTCACCCAGGCTGGAGTGCAATGGCATGGTCTCGGCTCACTACAACCCCTGCCTCCCCGGATTCAAGCGATTCTCCTACCTCAGCCTCCCCAGTAGCTGGGATTACAGGTGTGCGCCACCACACTGGGCTAATTTTTGTATTTTTAATAGAGACAGGGTTTCGCCATGTTGGCCAGGCTGGTCTCAAACTCCCGACCTCATGTGATCCACCTGCCTCGGCCTCCCAAAGTGCTGAGATTACAAGCATGAGCCACCGCACCCGGCTCTTTGTTTTGTTTGTTCGTTTGTTTGTTTGTTTTGAGATGGAGTTTTGCTCTTGTCACCCAGGTTGGAGTGCAGTGGCATAATCTCGGCTCACTGCAACCTCTGCCTCCGGGGCTCAAGTGGTTCTCCTGCCTCAGCCTCCCGAGTAGCTGGGATTACGAGTGTGTGCCACCATGCCCGGCAAAGTTTTGTATTTTTAGTAGAGACAGGGTTTCACCACGTTGGCCAGGCTGGTTTCGAACTCCTGACCTCAAGTGGTCCACCTGCCTCGGCCTCCCAAAGTGCTGGGATGACAGGTGTGAACTACCGCGCCTGGCCCCTCATTTCTGTTAATGGCAACCCCATCCTTTTGGCAGCACAAGCTCCAAATCTAGAAGTCATCTTTGTCTTATCTCTTTCTCTCTCTCAAACCAACATTCAGTCCGTCAGCAATAGATTTTCAACTCTACTCTTCAGTTATACTTAGAATCCAGCCACTTCTTATCACCTCCACTGTTACCATCCTGGTCCAACTCACCATTATCTTTGGCATAGATTAAGCCTGTCTGGTTCCCTGCTTTCATCCTTGTCACTTTCAATCTATTTGCAACATGCAGCCAGAGCAATCTTTAAAATTATGTCATGTTACTACTCTGTTCCAAACTCTCCATGGCTTTTTATTTCACAGAGTAAAAGCCAAAAGCCTTACAATGGCCTTCAAGGTCTAATAGAATCTGCGTTCTTCCCCCGACCCCGATTTCTTTGATCTGTCAACTCCTATTACTCTCCCTTTTCTCAGTCAGTTTCAACCATCTGGCCTCCTTACCATTCCTTGAACACCCAGAGATATTCTCCCTTCAAGTCAGGTCTTTGCATTTGCTCATACCTCTGCCTGGAATATGCTTTTCCCAAATATCTTGATATCTGTTCCCTCTCTTCCTTCAAGTCTTTGCTCAGTGTTGTCTGCACAGTGAGGCCTTCTTTGACTACTCCATCTAAAATGTAGAAAAAAAGCACGCATTTTTGTCTACCAAATTCACTGCCATATCTCAACACCTAAAACAATGATGTTGCAGTGAACGCTATGGGGCTTCCATCCACATCCCCTTTGCAGCTGAGGCAGTTGTTGCCCTGCTGGGAGTGTTGGTGGTGATGACTCTCAGCTGAGTGCCTCTCCAGGCATTGCTCTCAGCTGAAGAAAGTTGCCTTAGCCATGTTTCTGCTCCTCTCCTAGAGCTAAAGGCTAGCCCGCAACAAATGACTTGCCCACCACTGGGGATATGAAGGCTCAGTCCCCTTGCCTCAACTTGGGATGACTCTAAAGATTCATCCCCAGCTGCAGAGCTGCCAGTAGGGTCAGCTGAGGCCTTTATTGTAACTGCACCATGGTTCAACGGCTCCCTCTGCCCAATCCTACTTACTTCTCCCAGATATTGATGCAGAGGGCACTCCCTCAATGAGCTTTCTGCATATAAATCTTGATTTCAGTGTCTGTTCCCAGTATTCTGTTAGAAACCTGACCTAACACCATTTGTATCAGTAGGGGATAGAGGAAGTAAACTCTAAAAAGACTTTTGGCACTAGATTACCAAGTAATGTGGACCTCATCACTGGCAGTAATCGAGCATTAGTATCCCTTGGAAAACTGTAATGGCACAATTGTTAAATTTTTCCCTGGTGTTGAATTGGGAGGGGATACTGTTGGAAGGGGACAAACTGGCAGGTGAATTATCTCAAGCTTTTGCAAGATTCAGGGGGAAGTACTAAATATAAGGACAATGCCTCTTGCTGGGTGCTATTGATGAATTTGAGAAAGACAATGAAAGACTGGACTCCCAATCAGTCATTGCAGGTGAAGTGATCAAGTCAGAGGCCTCTTTGGCAGCATAATAAAGAGGCTTTCATTTCCCACAGCCAAAGGGCAGTAAAAGCTGAGGATAAGGCTGAGGATTTAGGTGTGGTGGCTCACACCTGTAATCCTAGCACTTTGGGAGGCCAAGGCAGGAGGATTGCTTGAGCCCAGGAGTTCAAGACCAACTGGGGCAATATAGTGAGACCCTATAATCTACAAAAAATGAAAAAGTTAGCCAGGTGTGATGGCATGTGCCTATAGTCCCAGCTACTCAGGAAGCTGAGGTGGGAGGATCACTTGAGCCCAGGAGTTCAAGGTTGCAGCAAGCTGTGATCGTGCCACTGCACTCCAACCTGGGTGACAGAGCAAGACCCTGTCTCGCCAAAAAAAAAAAAAAGCATCACAGAGAATGTTGAATTCTCAGTCCCAGCAAGTCAAGAAAAAGTGGGATTCTGAGACTGAGATGAAGTCTTAATGGGCTAATATACTTGGAAACCTTGAAACCCAGATCCCCCTGAACCCTCCAGGCCTGCAGAAATGGTTTGGTCCTCTCTGTTAAACAGAGACTAGAACTCACTTGGCTTGAAGATGCTGCAGAGGCTTCTACCTTGTAAGGCAACACGTGTTTTCCTTGGGACCTCCCTTTGCGCAACCAGATGAATATCTAGGGTCCCCATTCTTTGTTCAGTTTCTGGACTCAGAACCCACTGGGTAAAAGATAAATTGGGTCCTCAGGAGGAAGGATCTTATAATACCATGACAAGTGTATAGTAATGATTTCCCACAGAGATCTAGGGACATTTAATCAAGGAACCATCCACTGGAGACAGAGGAACACCCATACATTTTGAAGGTTGTGGAATGTAACATTCAAGATGACACTGGTATTCAAAGTGTAAACATGGACCCTCCATCAGAGTTGAAGACACAGGAAGGCTAGAAATAAATAGAATTGTGGCCCAGTTCTAACTCACAGTGAGTCCACTTGGTCCAAGTCCTATCAAGTGGTTATTTCCTTGCTCTTTGAATGTATACTTGGAATGGACATACTTGGAAGTTGGTAGTACTCCCACATTAGGTTTTGTTTTTTTGTTGTTGTTTTGTTTTGTTTTGTTTTGAGATGGAGTTTTACTCTTGTTGCCACGATCTCAGCTCACTGCAACCTCTTCCTCCCGGGTTCAAGTGATTCTCCTGCCTCAGCCTCCCAAGTAGCTGGGATTACAGGTGTGCACCACCATGCCTGGCTAATTTATTATTATTATTATTATTATTATTATTTGTATTTTTAGTAGAGATGGTGTTTCACCATGTTGGTCAGGCTGGTCTCGAACTCTTGACCTCCTGATCCACCCGCCTTGGCCTCCCAAAGTGCTGGGATTACAGGTGTGAGCCACCGCACCTGGCTGCACATTTGTTTTTGACCTGAGGTAGGAATTATTGCAGTGGGAAATGCTAAGTTGCTAAGTGAAAGTCTTTCGGCTTCCACCCAGTCAATGTAGTAAATAAAATGTCATGCGGTGGGTAGGAACAGCTCTGATGCCACTGTTAGAAACCTCAAGGGTACAGGCCGGGTTCGGTGGCTCATGCCTGTAATCCCAGCACTTTGGGAGGCCTAGGCAGGCGGATCGCCTGAGGTCAGGAGATCGAGACCAGACGGGTCAACATGATGAAACCCCATCTCTACTAAAAATACAAAACTTAGCCAGGCATGGTGGTGGACGCCTGTAATCCCAGTTACTCAGGAGGCTGTGAGGCAGGAGAATTGCTTGAATCCGGGAGACAGAGGTTGCAGTGAGCCGAGATCGTGCCACTGCACTGCACTCCAGTCTGGACTACAGAATGAGACTCCATCTCAAAAAAAACAAAAGAGAAAAAAGAAAAAGAAAAAGAAAACAAACCTAAAGGATACAGGGCCAGCAGTTCTCATAATATCCCTATTGAATTTATTTCTCTGGCCCCTACAAAAACCAGCCTGAAGACTACTGCAAATTCAACCAAGTTGTAGCTGTAATTGTAATTGCTGAGACAGAAGTAATATATTTGTTAGGGTAGATTAATGTCAGTTTACCCATCAGTCAAATTTTTGTTTTAGGGATCCAGAGGTCTGGGGCATGATTTTCCATCCCCTGCAAATTGAAGGACAAAATGTTGCACCTTGTACCTCCCACCACTAAGAAAGAAGCACAATGCCTGGTAGGCCTCTTTGGATTCTGAGGTAGCATATTCCATATTTAGGAATACTGCTGCAACCCACATACTGACGAACAT